CAATCTTTCATATCCCTATATAAACTAGCATTATTTATTAAGATATTATAATTATTTTTTAAGATTATGCATTTGTGCAGAACTGGAGTAGCAGACTCTGTTGATCATGTCCTTCTGTACAGTAATTTGTAAAAAAGGCTTGTTCTCGCTTTACTAAGAACTTTTCCAGGATGATTTTCTGAAGATATGGTCCTGTTCTGCTTAAAGAATAATTTATCCTTTATTACTGAGCAGGTTGCAAATTTCTTTTTTATTGCAATGCAAATCAGGAAAAAAATTAGTTGGATCTCTTTTAAAACCCATCTGTTTTATGAAACTGTTTTAATTCCTGTATTTGTTCTTTGGTATCAAGACTCTGATTGGCTTGTGACCATAACAAAAATTCATAGATTCTTTCTTTCTTTCTTTAGAAATCGCAGTATAAAAGAACATATGATAACATTTCTGTTACCCCACTACTACATGGATAGACTTTCAAGTCCCAGGATAAACCTTTAAATTTGCTTTCCATGGCAACTCATGGCAAAGAATTCAGCCTAGCCATGGAAAAATATCTTCTAAATAATTAAGCACTATTATACCTGAGTTCAGTCAAAAGGTGAGACAAATGCATGGTATGCATCAAATAGCCAGGGCTGTTAACAAGGCACTTGTAACAGAATTTCTGTTGCTAATAGCATCCTGAAACATTAGATCTCCAGAAATCATTGACATCTACAGAGGACAATACGTTTCTAGAGTACTACAGAGTGCTGTACACTTCTGGAACATTTTATTTATTCATTAACATGTTTCTACCTTTTTATCTAAAAGAACTCCAAGAAGGCTAACAAGAATCAATTACGATCAATATAAAAACATGAAAAAGCACAAACAGAATTAATTTTAAAAAATCAATTAAACATGATGTTTCTATTTCCATTTTGGGTGCACACATCTGGAATTCTAAATCAACATTGATAAGCATAAATTAGTCCATACTTTCAGAGAATACGCAGTTGTGTGTTAGTTGTTTACCTCTGAAAAAAATTAAGAGATTTACTGTCGTGTTTAGGAGGTGCTGTTTATTGTTGTACCAAGTTGTTCATCAGGAGATTCATGAAAACAGGCAACTCCCAAGTGATAGTCAGGCAGGTGTTCCCATGCCAAAATCAGGAGCAAGCACTGGGAAGTTATTTTCAAATCAGACAGATTCAAATGATCCAGAAAGGAATGGAAGGCCAACTCCATCTTCCACTCTCTCTCCCCCACCCCCCACCCCATCTGCTTGGCAGGCAAAGGAAAGTGATTTATTCCTCCTGATAAATGTGAAGAAGTGGATGAAAAGATTAAATCATCTCGCCCTGCACTCACAGAAATGTGCTGCTGACCCCCATGCTCTGGCAAGGTCAGGAGGAGTCAGCAACGAGGGGCTAGAAAGCTTGACAGTGGGCGGGCAGTTTGCAGTTGATAATTGAAGTGGAATGAGGAAATGCTCTGCACCATTGCCAGAACCTCATCTGTCCAGGAGAGGAGGGGGACACATCTGTTTTCCCCAGGAAAGGCGTTGAACCTGGTTCCTTTTAGTTGAGTTTCCTTTCTGGGAGGGAAGGGAAAGTAAGCAGTCCTAGATTCTTAAGAGATGTACCAGGCAATCCGACAGATTTCTGCTCAGAAATAAGTCCCCCTGTTTCCAGCATGGCTTAGTCCCAGGCAAGTGTGCATAGGAGTGCTGCCTTCATGTTCAGACAAAGGCCATCTAACAAACAAAAAATTCAAAGGCCAGTTGGTCACTGGTAGGAGATTCAGTTCTGAATAAGGTTCTGGCAAATGTGGCCGAAAATTAGGAGAAGATCTGCAGCTCAAGGGTGAAACAATGTGATTTGGTATAATGCAGCTTCCTTCATCTCTTCTTTAAGAAGCATATAGGACATTCCCTTATTTTTAACTGGACAGTAAGCTGATCCGAAAACTAGGGTTATCACCTAACTCATTTTGAAAGTGCTTTGGACTGACCATACTATTATGCAACATATGCTCCCTCCTGTGTCTCCATTCCAGCACTTCTCTCTGCCAAGAATGTGCATAGTTGGTCCAGAGTTGCTCTGTGCTATCAGACTATTCCGTAGGGTAAAGCCAGTTACAAACACCGTGAGCTCATTGTTAGTTGCCACCATATGCCTTTGGTCATGTTGATATTACATTACATTTGTATCCCACTTTTCCCCTCTTGTACAGAACCCAAGGGGTTCTGGTTAGGGACTGGGATCTGTAGATGTATTGGGCCTACGTAGTCCTCCTCCTCTCCATTTTATCCTCATAACAACCCCATGAGGTAGGTTAGGCTGAGAGTCCGTGTCGGAACCAAAGTCACCCAGGGAGCTTTGTGGCCAGGTGGGACCCTTCAAGTCCCAGTCCAATACTCTATCCCAGGGGTCCTCAAACTGTTTGAATAGGGGGTCAGTTGAAAGGCTGTGGTGACTGTCGCCGGCCAGTGAGGTGGGGGTGCCTGGGGGCGTGCGCGGCAGTGACTTGCTCACTCAGAGATCTCCCAGCAAGTCCAAACCCATCTCTGAGCGAGCAAGTCACCTCCTCCCCGCCTGTGGCGAGCATGCGTGTACAGGAGGCAGGCGGCGGTGGCTTGCTCACTCGGAGACCATCTCCGAGCGAATGCGTACAGGCCAGATCCATCTCGCGGGCCGTAGTTTGAGGACCCATGCTTTATTCACTACACTAGACTGTAATGTAGTAACATGTTTTTAAGCAACCACCGTCTACTTTTCCAAGTAACTCAAATATTCCCCATTGTGCTTGACGTATATAGAACAAATGCTGGTGGGTGCTTTCACTCACAAGGTTAAGTTATAACTGGGCCATTTCACAGGTCACACCTAAGATGTTTTCAATATACACCCAGGAACCTAATGTGCATACACAATAAATACCTGCTTGCAAGCACATGAATCATAAAATAGGTATACTTATCAGGAAGCTAGAGCTTTCGGTAGCCTTGTTGGATGTACACTCAGTGCTGAACCTGATTAATATGTAAAACAGCATGTATGTCAATCCTTTATGCATACAAAACCATCACAGACCCCAAATGGGTAAATAAAAATTTCCCTTAATTGGTGCCACCATGTACGCCATGTTTTTGTCTACATGTATCAATTGAATTGTAGCATTTCATCATTGACTCCCATTTGTGTGTGTTTCACTACAAGGGCAATGCAGTAATTTTGATTCTGATAAAAGTGAATGGAGAAATGCTGCATATCCAAGTTAATGTGGTTTCTAAATGATTGCATCACAATGAAAATCGTAATTTGCAATGTATTGGCTACTTTATGGTAACACAAGAGTTAAGATAAGGAGGTGTTCATGCTTTACTTTTATATATATATACACACACATACACATACACACACACACACACACACTCTTCCAGGAGGTTTTGAGCTGGAAGCAAAACAACAACAAAAAAACCCCCTGTATATGGGGGCTGTTACAGACCCCAGATTCCCCATTTAGATTTATTCGCATACCATAAACAACAGCCTTTAAAACCCTGTTATTTCTTTCATGGGTGTCAGATATATCTCATTGTTTCTGCCTGACCCAAAAACTGAATCTGTTACATATATAGGAGGATTAAATTAGTACCTGTTGCAAAAATAAAAGTTACCCCTTTGGGCTACCTTTTACATTTTGTGTGTTGTGTCAATTTTTTCCTTCATATGTGACACACAAAGCTTGCGATAACTTTTTAGTATGATTTCTGAAATGTCCTATGATGGCAAGGACGTGGCCGGAACCGTGTGGTGCACACGATGCAGGGATGCAGCTCAGGAACTCGCAGGGTTGCCCCGCTAGGCTTGCCAGCGACTTTCGGAAACTTTACTCGCCGTCTGTGTGAGCCAGTCTCTGTGCTTTCTGAAACTGCAGTGACCTTTTTGCCATTGCAAAGATATTAATTAGCTACTGCCTGAATTCCTGTGCACACAATTGTGTCAGGGCTTTTAAAGCTTGCTATTGTAACCTCCCTAGCAACCTTGTTGCCCAGATAACAGGTCCGGTGCGATCTGTCTGTCAGTACCTTTATGCCACAGTGACAAGCACAGCTTGTGCTTCAGAGGAATTCTACAATGTGCCGGGCTGTCATTTACAAGGCAATGACACTTTAAATATAAATTAGCAAGCAAACTGTTTCTCCCACCAACATATCTGCCCTCCCTATCCTTTCTGCTTAGATCAGATGCAAAATAAAGTGCCAGGCAGGTGTTGGAAAAAGCAAAGTTAAAGAAAGCTTAAGTAAACTTGCTGCAGTCAAACAAGACATCACAGTGAACTGTTGTTATTCTTGCAAAGGGGTAATTGAAAAAGTAGCATTCATTCTTCTAGAATGAAAATTGTCACCAGGCGAAATTAACAGAAAAATGTGTATTAATTTTTATGTGAACTTTGAAAAAAGACAATCTCAAGGTTCAGGACAAACTGGGCTTAACACTGGAAAATGAGAAAGTGGAAAAAACTGAAATGGAAAGATTTGCTCATTCCTAGCTGAAGCTGGCAGCAGAAAGTAATCAGGATGCTGTTCCTTAGCCGTGCACTCTCCCTGGCCATGGCTCAGAGTGCAGAGATGTGATGGGGTGCATGGTGCTCGGGGCTTCACTTGTGCAGTTGCTAAGGGGACTCTCCAGGGGTACCAGCTTGATTAGTAAAAGACAGAACAGGGCAGTCTGAAGCACTGCAAATACTGTGACTGCCCAATGTGTTGGTTTTATTTTTAGCACATGTCAGGAAACTGGGGCCTCTACCTTAGACTGAAATTAGCCACCTTTGAATGATTTATTTCAAGCACTAGCAGGTGTGCACCTCACCTCTGCTTGCTTTATGTGCTTGCCTCTTTATGTTCATCTGCAAGGTCTATGCAGCATACAAAATAATTAAACATATAACCTGAATATTCTGTTTATTGCAGTGCACTTCACCAAGCTGAAAAATTATTTTCCTCTTTTCAGGGTGCTGACCTGAAGAAGGGGAAGCTCCAAGGCTTTGTGCTGTCAGGTAAGCAGAAACTGGACGCACCTTACAAATTCTTCCCTAGCGCCGTCATTTCTCATGAGGTCTTGGCACTGAATGGGTCTCTCTGCATCATAGTCTGGATTCCCATTGATGTATATGATCTTGCTTTAAATCAGACAAGGCCACAGTGCTTCTAAGCGCAGTAAAAAGATCCCATCAGACCTAGAGCATTGCCTGCTCTCATGTTTTCCTATTATGTGGCTGTCTAGTGGTTCAAAAGTATGCTTTTCTTTAAAACTGTACTTGAGTAGAAAGATGATAGATAGCTGCCTGACAATGGATAATAAATCTAAGGAGTGTGTTACTAGGAAAACAAGAATCTGCAAACATATTGGAAATGAAGAGGATCTGCGAGGGAAACATTCTAGCCGCCCTGTCTTTTGTTCAAAGTTTTTAATAAACAGTGCAACACAGCCAATATTCATCGTCCGTCTTTGGACAGTACCTCTTCCTTTAGTCTAGTAGTCTTCAACTTTTTTAGATCCATCATCTACCTTTGGTCCAATCTGCAACATGAGACCCACTTTATGAATAAAACATACATACATGTCCATTTTCTCCTTTTCTTCCCATTGACATTCTTTATCATTTTATTCTGTAATACATGCAGCAACTAAATGGTTTTCCGATCTACTCTAAAACCACAGTACAACAGAGGTGAGAGGTGCTGGGACACCTAGCCAGTTTTAAACCTGTTTGCTTTGGTTGTTTGTTCAAGTTTACAGTTGACTATTTATTGGTCTCCGTGATAAGCCATGGAGTAAATGTACAAGAATCCATTTAATGCTTAGGTGGGGAATAATGGCTTTTTTCTGGAACTGCATCCTTCCTGATTCTTCCTTAAGTTGTGACCTGCTGCTAGGAGGAGAAAGGTATTATGAGAACATCAAATAGGTTTCAAGGGGCTTTTCCACCAGAAAAGCTCCTTGATTTTACTGCAAAATAGCCACAACAACAACAGCATTCCATAGTTGTTGTGTGGGACTCAAAGATCTTTCCCTAAAGTGTTACAGTCCCTCCTGAATTGTTCTTGGGAGAGACGGATGACTCTATTCAAGAGGAGAACTATTTTTCCCCAGAACTTGAATTATAATGTGAAATCATTGACCACACTCACCACCTGACATGTACACTCACGTTTCCATCTGTTCATGCTTCGGGGACTCTGCTTACCCAAGTGTCATAGACATCTCTTTAAAGGTGCTGGTAGTGTCAGAAGTCATGAATGATACAACTCCTGCTCCACCCATGGTATTTAGTGTTCCTTCTAAACAGCTTTGTTCTCTTTATCTTCAATTCTCTCCTCAAAATTCACTTACAAACCTCGCTCAGCCTAAGGGCCAAATCTGATCTTCTTTCAACTCAAGAGTGGAATTCCATTTTGGAAAAGCTCTCAGAGGCTGAATCCCAGTGGTTGGCAGGGCCATGGTCAAAAGGAAGAGGACAATAAGACCATCCTATTTTAGCTTAAAGTTCTTAATGCCAGTAACTAAATCCTGAGATTTGTTTAAATGCATGCCTCAGGAAAAGCAGCTCAGCCTTTCTGAACAGGAAAAAAAAACTGCACAAAAGCTGGGCCACCAGCAATCTGTAGCTGAGGGAAAGGGTGGGACCAAAACAAGGGTTGTGGTCATCTGGGAAACTCTGAAAAGCCAGTTTGGGTCTCCAGGTAGGCCATACTTGGCCCATGGACCTGTGCTTCAGCAGCTCTGGAATATGGTTTATCCTATAGAGGATTCTCAGTTTCAGCTGTAAGCAACCAGACCTGGTGTTTGTGTGATTGTACTCGTCCACATTCTTTCCTCATTACTCTTCTCTTTTTTCTGGCTTCTTCCTTGTATATGTTAGATTGAAAGTTCCTTTAGAATCTGTTTTGCCTGTACAAGCACTTCTGAATAAGGAAAAACGCCAAATGTTAACAAAGCCACCTTCTCCTGGTACAGAAGCGGTTCTACCATTTTCTGCATGGTTTGCTTTTAAAACACATTCATTTGTAAAAGGCCATGCAGTATATCTCTCAGAAAAGCCGTAGCACATCTTCCCTAAAAGTTTAATAAAATGTGTCAGTTCCTTGTTTTTGAATGCAAGTGAAATTACTTTTGGAAAATTGATAAACAAATTGGATGTTTCATTTGTAACGCTGCCACAAGAACTCTTGCACTGTGGGTGTGTGCAAAAAGTTCATAAAGGGCATTGGAAGGTGCTGCACCGGAGCATGTGGATAAACTCAACCTTCCATGTTTCTCAGTTTCATGTTTTCTAGTAGCCAGAGATATAGAAAATCTGAGGATTTTCTCAATTTGTCATCTCAGAAGGAGCAGGAAATCTCAGCATTAGCACAGAAATTCTGAGAATAATTTCATGCTCATACTGGGCAGCGAATGATCTCTTCTTTAGCCAATACAGGATAATCAAGAGGTGTTAATAGTGAAGTGGGTCAATTTTAACCTTATAGGGAAAGTTGGCAAAGTGTTTTCCACTCCTTTTGCCCACTTAGCTTCTCAACGGGTGTTTTCTACAAGTGATAAACACACAGACAGCATCTAACCTCAAAGCATTTATGCCCTCAGTGACCACCTGTGCACCCTCAAGATTAATCCCTATTAATATCCGCAGCAAAGTGTTACAAATATATGAAAAAATATGAATGACTGTCTCTTCAGTCATTTGTACATATGAGGCTAAAATTGGTCTGCACTTAAATTGGTCTGCAATGCAAAACCTGCATTGGCTAATATCTGGAGGGTGCCAAGCATTTGCTTTGCTGCACCAGCTTGTGCATTTGCAGGGTGGGATCCAAGCAAAGACAAAGCTTATTACCTAAGAGGGACCAAATATAGAAGGGACATCAGCTGTGAATCAGTGACATTTGCATTAAATGGTTTTAATAATCTGAGGTGTTATCCAAGGGGAGATGGATTCCCCCCCGCCCCTCCCCACACACACTTCCTTGATCTGATTATGTTGCGCAGGAATTTTAGCCTCTCTCATCCCTTCACATCACATCCTCTTTCCTCGAATCCAATCTGAAATGTCCTTCAAGCGAAGATTGGGGCTTTGAACAGTTAGGGAGCATCTGCCTACATAATAGCTCAGCTTGGTATTAGGTTCTTTTTCACAACACATACTGGGGGAGGGGGGAGCTGTCATGTCAGTAGCAAAGGGTTCATTGGAGTCAGAGTGTCGTTTCCACCTGCTGATTCTCTACGACAGACCAGGCACTGGATAAAACCTATGGAAGCCAAACCAGATCAGTTCTTGAGATGTTTGAGACAGTGAAGCAGCAGAACTGACCAGATCCCAACTTTGCAGCTAGCATCCTTTCAGGGAAGGATGGAAATTCTAAGCCTCTGTCATGGTCCAATTCATGTACTAGAAGAAGCTGTTGGACAGCTTGCCAGTCCTGCAGAAAGAGAAAACCGTTCCTTTTTGATGCCAACAGCAACCGGATCCTATCTTCAATTCACACACATTGGAAATATGGGACTGCAGCCTTTGCTATGCATCAGACTAGGATGAGAGAGTCCATGATTTATATCCCCACCGAGCTTCATGGTTTAAAACTAAATCATTCTTTCTTGATAACCATTGCAGGATGGTTGTGAGGATAAGAAATGGGAAGGACTGCCCTGAGCTCCTCAGAAAGATGCAGAGACAACCCCCCCACCACCACCACCACTATAACAATAAATACTAAAACGCCACCTTTCCTTATGTCCATTCTTTTTAGATACATTCAGAAGCACCTGTCCCATTTTTCTGTCTGAGGGGTTTGTTGGCATCTCCAAAAATGCTTTCTGTCTTCCCAGAGTATGAGAAAGCCAACATCTTTGAGACAGGCTCAGAAAGTAGCCACAAGAGAGCAGGTTATTTCAGTAGTGGTGCCCCTGTTTATGGAATTGGTTCCTTACTGAGGCCTGCCTGGTGCCAAAATTGTCATCTTTTCTGTAATGGGCTGAGTTCCCACTACTCCCAGACATTTAATATAATGGCATTTAATGGCATGGACTGGGGCTGTCTTTATACTATCTATCTTTTTAAACACGTTTAATATTTTTACTTGGAAAAGATTTTAGCAGTTCAAATTGTTTTAAATTTTGCAAAGTGAGGTGTATATGATATTTTATTATCTGTATTTGTTGTTTTTGAATGTTGTGAACCACCCAGAAAACCTGCTATTGGGCAGTATGAAAATAATAATGGTAACGATAATGCCATTGCTTTCCTGAAGCAACCCCCCCCCAAAAAAAAATAATCGGGATCATGCGAGACAATGATATTAATCACAACATTCTCTGTCTTTACTTCTCTGCCTTTGTACCTCAGGTGTAATTTCCAATGGGGACTACCACAGGAAGTCAAGGGGCATTTTAATTCTTCCCCCAATTTTTTCACTAGCAAATTATCGCTTTCAAAATTATTTCTGGTCCCACAGACAAAAAGCATTGAGTACCAAGTGCTTTACCCTGCAGGGCTGAAAGCAGCTTGGAGGGACCAATTTGGCATGGAAAATAGATGGGGAATAGAGGGTGAATATTGTCCCTGCACTGCCAAGTCAGTCTCCTGTTGGGGTGCAGGGAGGGCTGCTTTAAGGGCTGCTTTAAGCAAAAAAATTTAAAAATCCTGGGAAGAGGGGGCTACATGGAAGTAACAACACATTCAGGCCTCATTGCAGCATAGCTGAAGGAACTACAGTTAGGATTCCTGAACATCCCAAACTAACGATCACGAGAGGAGCTGAGATCTTCTAAACTGATAGCTACCTCAAGGCTGGTCTGAACTAAGGCTGGTTTTTGATTGATTGATATATTTATATTCCTACCTACAAGGAATCCAAGGCAGCTTCCATAATTCACTTCTACACAGTTTTTATGCTCATAACAACCCTGTGAGGTAGGTTAGGCTGAAATTAGACCCAGAGTTACCCACTGAGCTTCATGTCCAAGTGAAGATTGGAACTGAATCCCCAAAATCCCAGTCAGTACTCTAACCACTACCCCACACTGGTTCAGTGTGAAAGATGATTTCAACATTCAGATGCTGAGTTCAAAATTTGAGCTCAAAATGTGACGCAAGGGCACTTATACTTAATTGTCTGCCTAGACTGACTAATAGATTTTTGCAGATTCAAATATCTAATCTGTAAGTAGTTAGCAATCAAGCACTCTGGATTCAAATAAATAATAGCCAAATGCCAAGTACTAATACCCATGTTAATTACTAAATAATGATAAAAATAAAATAGCACTGCAAGTCAACCAACCAGTTCTGTCAAAATATTAAATACTGTTGTATGTAAGTGATGAAGTACTGTAAATATTAGTTGTTAGATATTGAAAAGAAATTTCTAAATGTCTGGAAAACCTCATCAGCTAACCAGGAATCATACCGGTGACTTCAGCCATATATTCCCTGTCATGTGTGTGCCAGCCATCTACAAAGTTTATCTAACACTAAACTTTGATCAGGAGAGCTTTGGGACTTGGAGAGAGAGGAACAGATCTGAGCTTTTGTTGACTTAAAGGTTGTGTTAAAGTGAGGTTTTTCCAGAGCTTGCCTTCAAGAAGATGGTACAGAGCCAGACACCTGTTGAGACAAGGGAGGAATGAAAGGGTGAAGAGATATTCAAAGCTCGCACATATGCACCAGGTGCTCTGTAGGGAAATGTGGAATTTGTATCATGGTTCTCCCTCTGCTTGCGTGATCATTCTTGCCCATTTAAATGTCACCACAGGGACCCAAGGATGGATTAATAATGCCTCTCTGTTTAGGTATTAGAGGTTTGTTTGGCTCTATCCTGAGAAAACAACATAGGTAGCTTGGGAGTGCTCCTTGACCCAGAGCTGACTTTGGAAGCTCAAGTGTCGGCGGTGGCGAGAAGCACTTCCTTCAGTTGTGTCTCTACCTGGAGAACGATTGCCTAGCAACAGTGACACACGCATTGGTTACTTCCCAATTGGACTTCTGTAACGCGTTCTACATGAGGCTGCCCTTGAAGACGGTCCGGATACTTCAATTGGTGCAAAATAGAGCTGCCAGGTTGCTGACGGGAACTGGGCGTTGTTCTCATATAACCCCAGTCCTCTGCCAGCTTCACTGGCTCCTGATTGAAGTCCGGGCCCAATTCAAGGTGCTGGTTATCACCTATAAAGCCCTTAACGGCTTGGGACCTGGATACCTAAGGGAGCACCTGCGTCCATATTTGCCCTCCCGCCCCTTGAGATCAGTGGCAGAGGCCCTTCTCCGGGAACCCTCCGTGAAAGATATTAGGAGGGTGAGTACCCGGAGGAGGGTCTTCTCTGCGGTGGCGCCCCACTTATGGAATGCGCTCCCCAGAGAGGTCCGCCTGGCACCATTGTTATTTGTTTTTCAGCACCAGGCCAAGACCTTTTTATTCAAACAATATTTTAATAATCATTGATTTTATTTATTGGTTTTATAATTTTGTGCCAGGATGTTTCTGGATTTTATATATGTATGTATTTATATATATGTATTTATTTATAATGTTGGAAGCCGTCCCGAGGCTTATGCGAATGGGACGACATACAAAAATTCCAAATAAATAAATAAACAAACAAACAAACATAAACTGGCCCTAAAGGTAATGTATGGAATAAGAGAGAACGTTTCCTGGGAGGTACAAGTGGGCAGGGGAGAGGATATACCAACATATCAAATGAGGGTGAAAAGTGAAATTGACCAAGAAAATTCCAGGAATATTGTTGGAAGTAGGGGATTGTGCATATAGTTCTTGGCACAGCTGACTCTAACAAATGAAATGAACATAACAGGTCGGAAAACAATTCACTGTCCCATTTCCTTTTGCAGAGAAACCATACCTTAAATTCTCAGTGGGGTAGATTTCTGCTACAAAGAGAATAATACGACAAAAAGTAGAACTGAATGTCAACTGTTCTATTTTCTGTACCTAGACTACCGCCGACCCACACCACCATCTCGAACTGGCTATCACCGCTACCAGTTCCTCCTCTATGAACAGCCAGCTAGTCAAGATATATCCTTGAGTCCAGAGGAGAGCTCATCTGCAGGTAAGGGACTGTGTGACTTTATATCCCAAGAAGACCAATTTCAGATTTGTCCTTTTTGTACATAAGTTACAGAAAGAGCATTGCTGCATAATTTCTTATCTCTGATTTATCTTTCGATGTGATAGAATTCCCTATAGGGAATGCTTGTGGAGACTATGCGCTACATGGAGAACAAATTACAGTGTGGGTACAGCTGTTCTTGGTTAGGTCACCGATGTAAATTCTTGGTATTGATTTGGTAAGGGTGCCCAAGTGTCAGACAGCATGGTTAGAACAATAAATGACTTCTGCTGCTTTGTACAATGCACTCAAATGAAGTTGGTTCTCGGTTGTGGTGAACTCATCCTGCTGGTAAAAGCATATGTGAAATATGATACAGGTGTGATACAGAGGTTTGTGTCAGACTAGAATGAAATGCACTGGTTGATCTTGACTCAACCATTGTCTCTCTCTCAGTCTAACTTACTTCACAGGTTTCTTGTCAGGATTCTATGGAAGTTTGGTGATAAATATGTATGCTACCTTTGATTCCTTGGAGGAGATGTAGCATATAAATATTTCTTGTTGTTACCTGCTGTCAGGTCCTCTCCAACTTATGGTGAGCCTGTGAATGAATGCCCTGCAAAATGTCTTACTCATCACAGCCTTGCTCAGCTCTTGTAAACTCAGGGTTGTGACTACCTTTATAGAAGCGATCCACCTCATATTTGGACTGCCCCTTTTTCTTCTGCTTTCAACTTTCTCTAGCATTATTTTCCTTTCCAGTGAGTCTTACCTTCTCATGATATGCCTAAAGTGCATGTGAATATAATAGCATTTATATTACACTACTACTAGTAGTAGTAATTCATGTCATAAGCCACTGGGCTCAGGTTCCTTAGCACAAGAACTGTAGGAACATTACAATCCATAACTTTACCCCAATTAGGCATGCCAGTGACCCTTCACAAACAATCCTTCCCCCATTATTACTACCCTTTTTACTTTCAGGCCAGTGCCAGATGAACGTGGGACAAGGCTGGCTGTTTCCCTTTCCCTCACCCATTTGAAGCTGTCCTTAGGGTCAGGAACGCTTGGGGGAAATTACTGCAGAGGGTGATGTGCTTTTGAGAGGAGCATGTCTGCCACCTTGAAACCTATAAGTGAGCAGGGTTATGAACTGTGGAATGTGTGGAAGTCACTTATATTGATGTTTTGGCAAATTATCTTAGTTTTGTCTGTGAAAATTCTTTTTTGTTCTAAGGGATTTATTTCAAATAGGAGATAAGAAAATGAACTATTAACAATGCAATCCTATATATGTCTATCCAGAAGTTAGTTTCATGGGGTTCAGTGGGGCTTACACCAGGCAAGTGGGTATAGGATTGCTGTCTCGGTCTCTATTCACAGGAACATGTGTCACTTAAAAAACCAGTTGTCTTCCACTCTTATCTGAGACCATCCAGCACAGATTAGGCATTCACAGATTCTAATCGAGTATCCTTATTCTTCTTGACCCACCTCCTGCACATCTCACTCCACCTGTCTGCTGGAGTTTGAAAAATAAGTAAATCACACAATTGCTCCCAAGAAGATCCACCTGAAAGTAAAGTTACAGAGTCACAAGAACTTACCGTATTTTTCGCTCTATAAGACGCACTTTTCCCCCCTCAAAAGTAAGGGGAAATGTCTGTGCGTCTTACAGAGCGAATGTGTGTGTGCCCAACGCCCGGGACGCTGCCGGCCCGCCTGCACCACGTGGCACCACCTGGCCGGCACGTGCTCGGCACGCCCTGCTCCGCCCCCCCCCCAGCACAGGTGAGAGCTGTGCCGCTCAGGGGGAGGCGTGCGGAGGAGGAGGAGCTGGTCTTCCCCTTTAACCCGCCGGCTGCATGGAGAGACGGACTGCTCACCCCCACCGTCTGGGAAGACCTGCCGCCGCCGCCACGCCACCCGGAAGACCACAGCCGGCACGCTGCTGGCCCGGCTGCACCACACCTGACCGGCATGTGCTCGGCGCGCCCTGCTCCTCCGGCGCAGGTGAGAGCTGTTAATCACAGGTTGGTGCATGTTTTCAAATGGCAACCCATCTTTTAATGAAGCCCATGGGGAAGTGATGGGGAATGTGCCTGTGATTATCAGGAAGCTTTCCATGGATCCCTCCTCTAAAAACTAGGTGCGTCTTACGGTCAGGTGCGTCTTATAGAGCGAAAAATATGGTAATTGTTTTTCTGAAGTTACAGTTTTATTTGGAAAAAAGCGATCCCCTAAAAAAAGATCATTCCCTTTCCTTTACTCTCTAAACTAGATAGATATCTGATAGAAGAGAGAGCAAATATTGGCAGAGATCAGGACATTCTTGATACTTTACAGGTGCAGTTATAAAATGTTTAGTTTCTGCCTGGCTCTTATCACTGAAGCAAGATTTCCTAATGTCCAGAACGTTGTGCTTTTGTTGGACGGTTCCTGTGCAGATTCAGTCTGCTTTTTCTAGGACTCAGTGCATCTAAGCAATGCACTTCTGGGCTGGAGGACAGTGCTTTAAACAAATTTGCTATTTCTTGTGGAAAGCACCTGGCAATGATGTGAATGGGTTCGCCTTGTGCTCATGTAATTGATATGCCCTGCAGTGGAGCTGGAGTTGTGTGAGGACTTTTTTCCCTTATAGTATGAATTTATTAGTAATCCAGCATCTTGGCAAACTAATTTGGATGACCAGTTCTTGCATGCCAGTTCAGAATGGGGTTAAAAAAAGGCAGCCAAGTTTGAAAGCCAACTTTCAAATTAAAGTAGGAGATGTGAAAGTGAGGAGGGGACTTGGAGACTGTGAACCAATCTTGGCTGGTGGGTCCAAGAGCAGCTGGAGTTTCATCAGTGACACCTCACTGCTGTAATGTACAACAAGCTGTAAGATAAAATCATGAATAATAGGCTTTGGCAATTGGGGTTGCACAAACAGTCTTGAAGCAATGCTCACAAAACAACAGCTCAGCTGATCCAGGCACGTCCTCAGCATGGAGGGACAACTAGGCTCCCCAATCAAAACTCTGCATTGAGACTTTTTGCACAAACAGAACTTCAGGAGGGAGATGGAAGGAGAGATAAAGGAATGTGGAGGCCTCACCCATGGAGACTTCGCAGCACGTGAGACACACCAGCCACACACAAAATCAGGTTGTGGAGCCAGAGGAACAACAGGTGCAAAACCTTGTTGTAAGAGTCTTAGTCACACCTGAAAGGGAAGTGAGGGCACAGAGAGCAGAGCAACATGCAGCACTGATGCACTTCTTTGCCCATGGAGATCAAATGGCACTTGCTGCCATGTCCTGCTAGCCTTAGTTAGAGTTGCACTGAAGAGTCCAGCAAGTGATGATGAAGACAGTTCACAGTCTGTATTGAATTATTATGAGTCCGCCTTTCTTATGAGGGCCAAGTCTTTCTGGGCTTTGGGAAGAACACCTTCAGGAGGCCCAGACTCCAGCCTTGCAGTTGAGCAAGGGAAGGCTTACTGGGCTAATGAGATGGTTTGCAACAGGCGACTAGGTGGTCCTGACTAGGACCTCATTTGTGGGCATTTCTACATGAAGTCAGAAAGTGTCCCAATTGTTTTATTGTGAGTGTGATTCTTCTCAAAGCTCTTGCCCAGTGACAATAGCACAATCTTTCATCTATAACGTTATAGCTGGAAACAAAAAATATTGTGGCTGGAGGTGCATCTGTAGTGTGAGGTAGCAAGAGTGAGTAATTCAGATTTTATTTAGATAATGGATGGATTGTGTGTGTGTATATGTGTAAGAGAGAGAGAGGTGGGGTGCTTATACTGGAGAGAGATAGTTGCTCAATATTTTTTTCAAAAACCAAAAAAAAGAATATCAGGGGCTTTGTGCAGGCAGGACAGTACCAGCAGAATTGGGCACCATGTGCTTAAGGTAGGAGAGTATAAAAATGTGTGCATGAATAAAAGTGTTCACTCCCTTGCTTTGCCCTAATGATCTTGACGTTTTTTGCCTTCAGTTCTTTCTTTATGCAGTAGGGTTTATTGCTTGCACAGAAAAATGTGAGTCCAAACAAATGCTTCAGTGTTGCTGTGTGGTGATTTCCAAGTTTATTTGCCTCGGTTGTCTCAGTTGTCCCTTTCTGAATAGTGGATTGCTGCTGCAGGTAACCTCTTGGCTCAGTCCCAAGGGGTGCCAGCCACCACTGTAAATATTAAATTAAGTAAAACTATTGACAAGAAGTGTGGAAAACTTTTGTATATGGAGCAAGAGGTGCCACTTTTCACCAGTTGCATCACAGGAAATATCCAGCAGGTTTCTGTGAAACTCATACAACTACATTCCACACTGCATGTCAGTGATCACAAGGAATGGGTGCCCTATCTGGGAGAGAGTATCACATTCTCTTAGGGATGAAAAGTGATGCTGTTTGCACTCAATAGATATGCTGTGTCCACAGTGGAAGCATGGTATCAACAGCAGAGTTGCAGGTGATATATAACCAATGAATGCCATGCAAATGTCACTATCCATGTAGTAGCTGGCCAAAGAACTTCATTGTCAAGGAACGGCCAGTTGTTTTATTTGCTCATATCTCCTCTGTCTGCAACCGTTGCTCATGATTTCCCAGTCATCAGTCTGGAATACTGTATGGTCTGAAGAGACCCAGAGTATGGTCCAGAGGCATGTCAGACATCCCCCATGTTGAAGCTAAGCAGGTCTGGGGCTGGCCTGAGCTTGGAGGGAGAGCCGCCTGGGAACCACATGTTCCCCCTTTGAGATTTACAATGGGAAAAGGTGGGATATAAAAATGATAAGTAAAATGCTTCAACCATGGCACAGTCCCATATGAATAGCTACTTAAAATAAGCTACACAAAATGTGGGCACAGCTGCATTGGTAAGCTGTTGGTAGGTGGTCCTATATAAGAAGGGCTTCTCTCAAAAGCAAGCAGTATTCTTCCCTTCCCTGGATGAATCTAGATGTAGGTTTCAAACTTAAGGCATCAGGGACAGCTTCCTTCAA